ATCTATCTAATCTATCCATAATCTATCTAATCTATCTAATCTATCTAATCTATCTAATCTATCTAATCTATCTAATCTATCTAATCTATCTAATCTATCTATCTATCTATCTAATTAACTGCTGGCTCATAAATACTGCAAAATATTGCGTACCATTTTTCCCAGCAGCAGTGAAATGGCAGTGACCTGGTTTTGTTGCATATTACATGTATCTTTGCACAACACACATGAAAAGGACATATTTTTCCCAGTTTCTCTTTACTGTAGATGTTCAGACTGACACACACACAGTCTTAACATTGGGATAAATGATAAACCTGGGGGAGTGTTCAGTGGGAGTCTGCCAAGTGTGTGTGTTTGCCAGTGTGTGTTTATGTGCCAGTGCCACAGTGTGTTACTGCGTGTTTGTGCCTGCTGTGTGTGAGATGAAGTGTGACTGATTGAGATGGATGAGGGTCAGTGTGGCTTCTAGAAGTTACAGTCTGTCTGTCTGTCTGTCTGGATCCATGCAAATAAATCCTTGAAATGTGTCCTTCATCTGTCCACACTGAATGTCGGCTAGACTTTGGACATTTGGAGGGATTTAGGTCTGTTGTCCAGAGGGGGGCTACAGTTTGGCATGGTCTCACATGCTTACAGCATGAAAACCAAAGAAGTCAGACTGACAACTCCTTGTCTTTTTGGGCTGCTCACATCAGAATTTCTTATCTGCTGTTATTTTATCTGTCATTTTTAAAGAAAATACTGAATTAAAGATCACTCTTCTGCTAAAACAGGAATATCTCAGTTTTTCAACACTGTGTACTGTGTTATCTCCTGTTATTGCTCACTCACTGCTCCCTCTCCCTGCAGCTCTCACCAACTGATAAGAGTTTGGAGTTTGACAGAGACTTTCGCATCAGGCACTATGCAGGAGATGTGGTGTAAGTATCTGGATGTTTGATTTATTCATGAAAAAGACTTGAGTGGTGATTCACCCTCGTTTCCATATCTGTGTATTTATACATTCATGCCGCGGAGGCCTCTGCTGAACTCACTGTGGAGAATGTTCAAAGGACCGGTTTCAGTCAGCTCAACGTCAACAAAATAGTGTATTTTTAATCTTCTGTGTCCTACTCACAAAATATGGAACACAGTGAAAATTCACAATGTCCCTGAGAGCTCCTGCAGATTAAACCTAAAAATAAAACATCGGTTTAAGGCCTTTTATAATAACAATAATAATTTATAATAACAATAATAATAATTTTATAATAATAGCTCTATTCTCCCCAATAGATGGCAGAATCACCTTTTAATGGTGGCTATGAATATGGCTCAGGACATGACACACATTTCTGAATGCCTGTGCTATTTTAGGCTCCATGCTTTGTCCTGAGTGCACAAACACTCCAAATGCCGACTGTCATGTAAGGCACAGAGTTCTTTTTAAAGTGTGTTTTTAAACTCACCGTACAAAATTGACATTGTTGATTCAATCATCTGAAATAATGAGCAAAAATCTTTTTACTCTGGACCTCAAGACTCCACTAATGGAGGTTTAAGACTCTTCACGCACACATCAGATTAACAGTACTCACGCCCCACGGTGCACTCCTAAAAACAACACCCCCAATTTTAATTCCCTGAAGTCCCTTGATCACATCTAAAATTGAATAGATCACCCGTGTTAATCCCCGAAAATGGGTTGTCAAGGATTAACATCCATTTTCAAATGCCAAGTGTCTGTAACCCAGGGGACGACTCAGGTAGAGGAGATTGTTGCTTCAGCCTTTCAGACCAAGCGGGGGGGCAGACAGCACCACACGTCTAACAGCAGGGACACTAACAGCTGCAGTGGACATCGACTTGGTGTGTCATAAGACTGGGCTACATTGAAATGTTAAAAATAGAAATTCACCATATTAATGAAGAATATGGTGAATTTCCCAACATTTAGTTTAGATCATTCTGCCACCAGAAGGTTGCAAGTTCAATACCATCTAGTTCCCAAATCCCAGGATGATTTGCGTCAGTAAGGCCATCTGGTGTAAGTCCTGAGGGTTGGTCTCAGAGACCCTTACAAGAATGAAGCAGTAGTGGATAAAGGCAAACCTGGTCCTGTTGAGTCCATGACTCGGTCTGAGTCATTAGCAGTTCAAAGATGCAGTTGATGTGAGGATGAAGGTGTCAACTGTTGTCAATGAGTCTGTGGGAGTGTACGTCAGAGCTTCTAGCTGCTACGCTCTTTTCACAGGTACTCAGTGGTGGGTTTTATTGACAAGAACAAAGACACGCTGTTCCAGGACTTCAAGAGACTTCTCTACAACAGGTGACACACGAGACACAGTCAGACAGAAATAGGCTTCCTCCCTCTCTCTCTCTCTGTCTCTCTCTCTCAGTTCACATTATTTTGTTCTGATATTTCATGTATATTAATCAATATAAAGGGTTTATTGTCTCAAATTTTACTCAGTTCTTATGAATATTCTAGAAGTCTTTGTGGTTTTTCTTCTAGTTCTAACCCAGTGCTGAAGGGAATGTGGCCTGAGGGGAAGCTGAGGATCACGGAGGTCACCAAACGCCCACTGACAGCCGCTACGCTCTTCAAGAACTCCATGATCTCACTGGTGGAGAAGCTGGCCAGCAAGGTGAGGAGGCCCGTCTGCTGAAGATTTGATTTTTTTCTGGCTTTGAATTACAGATTTCAAAATGTATTGTCTAGTCCAGAAAACTGCACAAACATTTTAGTGGCAATCATGTTAACTAAAAAATCTAATATCAAACTTAGTTCACATACACAAACTAAGGCAGTGGCCTCATTGTTGCCCCCTGCAGGAGCCCTACTACGTTCGCTGCATTAAGCCCAACGACGTGAAGTCACCTCTTCTGTTCGAGCAGGAACGCTGTCGCCACCAGGTGGAGTACCTTGGCCTGCTGGAGAACGTCCGTGTGCGACGTGCCGGCTTTGCCTACAGACAGACGTACCCACGGTTTCTACAGAGGTACTCCACAACTGCAAAGAAGGTTCTCAACATAGGGTTGAGTGACAGAAACTCTCACATGTCACATTCATCATTCAGAAAGATTATTTTTTTAACCAATACATCTTTCAAGTTTTGACACCTGCTAGCCACTTACTGCTAGTATGGCTAAAGAGAGGGTTTGTGTACTGCAACATTACAGCAAGTGAGAACAAAATACTGCAAATACTAGGAATAATTTGACATTGTTTGCATTAGTTGAGGAAATGTTCCTTTTAACCGCTCTGCACTGGCTCGTGGTTCATGTGTTCTCAGTGGATCTGCTTTTAAGTTGAAGAGTAGAAAAAATGACTAATGACACTCAGACTCTCCATCCTTCCACCAGAAACTGTGCATTTACCAGGATTCTTTTCAACCGTTAAATCCGTACACTGTCCAATGTCAGCCAGAAAGTTACTTCACAGGCCGAGTCAGCTCTGTACTGATGATGGTTCATCCTGCAGATATAAGATGATCTCAGAGTTCACATGGCCAAATCACGACCTGCCGTCAGACAAAGATGCAGTGAAGAGGCTCCTGCAGGGATGTGGGTTCGACCACGACGTAGCCTACGGCAAAACTAAAGTCTTCATCCGTACGCCACGTACACTCTTTAGCCTGGAGGAGCAGAGAGAAGAAATGGTCAAACGGATCGTCCTCTTCCTCCAGAAGGTAAGTCAAAGTACTTCATAGGTACTCACTCGCCGAGCAGAAAAAGAAAATGACATTAAAATTTGTTTGTACCTGTACACACAGTAGATTAGTATTCAGCAACAACCATCAGCCTTAATGGCCCTGATTGCTCTTCATTGCAGACTATAATTTGATTACAGCCTCGTGAAAACACATTAAGGCTCAGATCACGTTCACAACATTGATTCAACTCAAATTTAGGACAAAATTAGCAAGCACCATGTCTAGAGCTGATTTCATCTTGTTTGTCAGCCGAGCTCTGTCCGTCTTCATCCACGAGACAGATTTATTGGATCAATCTTTAAGTGGATAATTTAAGGACAAAGCAATAAAAATAAAAAGTTTTTGCCCTTTAGATTAGAATGATGTCCTACATTTATTTTCCACTGGTGCTGTTGACTCAGCTATAGAACATTTGGCTATTTTTAAACAACTTTAGGTTCACTGTCTTGTGTCCTGGTTACACCTGTGCGTGGTCAGTGTCTGCCTCCCGTCTCTCTATATGACTTTAACTCCAGTTTATTTGTGAAAAGTCAAAAAGATAAATATAAGAAAGGTCCGTCATTCTGTCATATTCCAGTGGTCCCAGACCATCGGTCCGTGGACCACGTGAAGCTCTCCATTCCATTTTATACGGCTCAATGATTCATATTTGTGCTTAGATTCCAGTATGTGAGTCTTAGTGTATTGATTATCAACAGTTGTTGATGCATTAAAATCATGTCGACAGATTCCTTTATACCGTGTTGCGTTCTTATCTCTTACCCAAGGACTGACTGAGCGCTCCTAGACATCAAAGGGTTCTCCAGTCAAATCGACCTCTGTAGCTGATGGATTGGTTGACCTCTCATTGATCCACGTGACCTCTCATAGGTTCTTCCCACAGACACAGCAGAAGGGCATTCCTTCCATCCTTGCCCCGGGGGAATCCTGTCTTGTTTCTCTGAGTATGAGCAGGTTTTAATAAAGAGAGGAAAACCCAGAGGAACAGAGGCTTTTCAGACCAAAGCAAACACAGCCTGGAACTGCAGGCTTTTTTTAATCCCGCCCTCTGTGTGTGTGAAGGCCGGGCACGTAGTCAGTGCACGCCTGCTGATGCTGCGCTGACATACAGAATCAAATAATGGTAGGACGGCGGTATTGACTCCTGTGTCTGTCTTGCTGTGTGTCAAATAAACATCCCGTCCAAGTCTGATCCGCTGTGCATAACAATCCCCTTATCAGCAGCTGGCACGCTACAGCGCCTTCTGCCAGTCAGGACCATGGCGCCAGGAGAGGTGGTGGATGTCAGAGGCACAGCCACACTTCTCCTCCTCATCCCTCATTGATTTATTATCATAGGCTTTCCTCTATTTCTCTACACTTTCACACCTTCAACCAGGCCGGGACAACAACAGGCTGAACATACAGGATTTACTGCTTAATCAGGGACACATCTCAGAGTATTTACATGGCCTTTTGGCTACTTTATAACAGTATATTTACAAAGCCTTTAATTAGTTTGGACTCTATTTTCATTTATTTTTGTCATTAATTAGTTATAGCATTTTTTAAATTACTGTAATACCACATCTACATCAAAACATGCTGCCCTAATGACCAAAATAATGGTTTTGGAACACTTTTTTTATATTTTTGTCATGGAAGCTGACTGACGTCATATTCCGGAATGTTGTTTTAGCTCAATTAATTGTGATTAATCCACAGCTGTCATGTGATTAATCCATTTAAAATTGTAATTCATTTGACTTTTTAGCTGATTGAGCTTGTGGTGCTAGTGGTCAGTTTATGTATTCATCTTTTGACTATTGGAAACGGAATGTAGTGTATTTCAGCAGGGATGATTACCACAACCTCTCTTACACCTAATGGAAGGAGGAGCTGGGGGTTGGAGGCAGTGGGGTGGAGGTTGGAGGATGTGCAGCTCCATTTAATCCGTCCGTTCTCCACATTCTTCACTCACTTTCCTTAAGTGCTTGCGCTAACCTCATCTTTCCAGTCTGATGCTGTGTCCGCTCACTCTACCCAGCCTCATATTTATTACACTCAGGCCCGGTGCCTCACTGCTGATTGTTCTACCGTTTCCCGTCTGAAACAGTGTGTCAACAACAATTGAATCTCCACAGAGGACACAGCAGTTCTGTCATTACCCCTTCAAGAAAGAAATCAGGTCCTCCAAGACTGCTGGGAAACACTATAAATGCAGAGAATATAAATAAAACATAGCCCCCCCCCCACTCTCTGCCTTTGTTACAATGAATATTTCATAGATTCAAGCTCAGCCATCCACATCACAGTAACTGCAGTAACTGTCGCGTCTTGTCTGAGGAGTAGCAATGACGAAAAAAAAAAAAGAACCCCATGCCCCCCTCCCCCCCCATTTCTCCCCAGTGTATTCGGATCTGCAGTTTTAATTGCTTTCCAAAGCTCATAGTAGGTTTATCAAACGTCCTGTGTGTTATGTCTTGGGTGAGAATCTTTTACAGCGCAACCATGGGAGGGGGGGTCTTCTGGTGGGCTCTGGTGATAATGTGTATGTAGTATAAAGAGCTGTAACTATAAGTTGTGTCTTGAGGCATGGAATAGTTCAGTGATAACTCAACTGGTTGTGGTGGACACTGACTGGTAGGTTCAGGGAGTGGGCCACTGTCCTCCGCCCACTACACTGAACAGTCTTGAACTGATCTGACTCCTGTTTGACCTCAGCACGAACATGATCTCTAATCTTCTGATCCCTGCTGGCTCTGTAAGGTATTGTAAGTTAAAATAATGTGAGGCTCTCATCGTATCTACAGAAACTTCAGTGGCTGAGATTTCTGTTGCAGATCAAAGCAGGTTGGATTTCGGTGAGTCGTCCACTGCTGGGTTTCCTTTTTATCAACCGACTATCTACGTTTGTGATAGGTGGAAAATGATGTTTCAATTAGTCTATTCATTTTTTTCATCCTGGGACGGAAATATTAAACTAGCCAACACATGTTTAAATGGTGAAATAACCATGTATCATGTTGTAAAGTTAAGCTATATTTTCCTTCAGTTTTTGTCAGATGTTTTCCAGGGTCTTTGATTTTTTTGGTCCAAAAATAACCTTTCATAACACTGCACTTTTACTGAGTACTGTATAAAACTCTAAATGATGGTGATTGGGGGCCTATCACCAAGGCAACCTGCATCCGTGGCCAACAATGAATCTTTTTTTTTTTTTTTTGCTTCAGTTTGGCAGTTTCTAAATTCTTCCAAATCTTTTTCACCTTGCTGTGAAAATGTTCTTTTACCAGCAAGTTTGAATGGACGTTCATACAAGAAACTCATTCTGCATATTTGCTGCACCTGAAGGACAGTCTCTGCTTTTAACCCATCACCAAAGTAAACAGTAGGCAGCTTTAAGAGCCTGTGGAGCAGTGTGTGGGGACGGTGCCATGCTCAGAGCACCTCAGTGGTAACTTGGCAGCTGGTGGAGGTTCAAACCTTAAGAAAGGTTAAACCTTCCTTAACCGCTAAGCCACCACTGCCCCTTGTTCTCAACCTGGAACCTGGAAGAGATATTAAGACAAAACAGTTATTTTATCCATTACCTTTTTAGAAGTCTTTAACAATCTATATTTGATTTTGGATACCATTTGTGTTCACCAACAGTAAATAATTTACTGTACCAATAACCAATGCAATGAGAGCTGACATTTTGGAAACCAGCTCCTATTGGCCAGAAGTGGCGTTGCTCTGAAAAATCCTTTTCCCAGAGGCCACAGAATTGGGACCTAGGACCAGATCCATGGATTTTGTTGAAGCTCTTTCTCCCAAGTTGTTTCTTAGTTATTTGAATTTGGCTGCTGATGAAGCAGAATTTAAATAAAAAAAACCTAAAAACTTGATTTCCCTGCCACTTACACCCTCTTCCCTTAAGTAACTCAGTTTTAAAACCAAAGTCTTTGGGACTGAATGAAAGTGAATTTTCTTCACTGATTTGGTCTTAGACTTGAAGACATTCTCAGTAACCTGGGACAAGTGTCTTTTTTGACTTACTGTAGAGTTGAAAATCTAGAGTAGGAGTCTGTGCCTCCTACTCTGACCTGAACTAAATCCCTAGTGACTTGACTCAGACTGATTTTTCTGCAGTGACTGGATACAGTAAGAAGTACAACTCACCTACACGCTGAGTTTGTAATTCTATTTTTATTGCCTGAATAGAAATGACACTGTCCATTAGTTTGTTTTATTTTCTGCTGTCCTTCGATTATGTTTGATGGTTGTCAGTTACTTTCAGCCGTTACTGCTGACCATTGGCAATATTCTTCCAATCTGTTTTGTCCAGTTCCATCACATTGATTGATGGCCTTTTCAGAGCCGTTCGATTAATTCTTCAGGGCCGTCCCTTTCAATATGGCCGCTCATAAGGATCAAATGCATTTGTTTCATGTCATTACAGTACATTAGCTCAGCATAGAAATATAACTTGATAGTAGTAGTGCTGCAGCTTCGTGATTAAGAGCAGGAGGATTAGGCTTCTTTATAGTCGTGTTGATGTTAATGGTGAATGTGGGCCCCGCCTTTCCCGCCCCAGCATGTCATTGATTTATGTTAATGACTCCTGATCTGAGCCTCGGCCAAATGTCTCCCTTTGACGTACTGTGGTTTGAGCCTGTCCCAGCGCCACTAAATTGTGTCACACTCTCTTGAGTCCACCTTCCTCCACCCACCGAGTGCGTGGAGCATGTCAATGGGAAAACCAGCTTGGTATTCCCAGAGGAGAGTGGAAACCCAGGCGTTCAATAGTGGATTGCAGTGAAGTGTGTCGGTGGTGCAGAGTGGACGATCTGTCTTTCCACGTCAGGGTTTTTCAGGTGACAGCAGGGTGATGGTTCACATGTTGTTTTGGATTGGACCTAAAAAACACACAGTTATTACTGTGGGACTCAAGACAATCACCAGAAAGTAAAGGAATGGTCCGGTTGATTTCAACATTCAGCTGTAAAGAAGGGCTAATGAGCCAACAGTGCTGTCAGTGAAGTGTTCAAAACTGTCTCTTATCCCTCACCTGGGGACACATATCTGAAATGTTCTTACTCAGTGATCATATCAGTTGTACCAGTACAATGGAATCAAACCCCAACAGTTGTTGCAACCAAAGATCCCTATTCTCTCTACAACAATCTCATAAATCCTGGAGCCAGTGTGCGGCCAGGGCATCCTCCGTGAGGCACCGTCTCTAAAAGGATGATCAGATGGCTTTATTGGACAGAAGTGTTTGGGGCAGACTGTCAGGGGTCTTGTTATTGGCCTGATTTATCCACAACTCCCCCGAGTGTCGTCCTCATCAACTGACTAACGTCATCACAGCCGGTCTGCTCTGTTGCTGTAGGAGCAGAGAATGGGTTTTATGGTGTGTTTGTGCCTGTGCGGTCGACTTGATTGTCCTGTTATAATTCAACCCCCCTCAGTCACATTCCACCTGTCACGTACTTTAATGAGGCTCCACATGCAGTGGAGACAGTTTATGTCAGTGGTTATTGGACTCATTCTGGTTTCATAGTCTTTTGTTCCAGAATTGTTCCTCCCTTGACCCCAACCCAACTCATCCCTGTGTAATTAGTGATTTTCTGCGTAAATAAATAAGCAGCGTTGTTGGTCTGGCACGTGGGACTGTGCACCATGTGGGTACCAGGCAACAAACAGCTTCATTGTGCTGCCAATGGGGGTGGCACTTGGCCACTTCCTGCTACAACCGAAAGACTTTTGGGGGTGGGCAGGTGGGGGAGGGTTTGTTATCAGGCCCCAAGGTGGAAGAAGAAGTCACCTGTTTGGTCCCTGGCCGTGGTCTTTCTGTATGGAGATTAGTACAGAGTTTAGTTTTACTCTCATTTTCAGAACCACATCTCCTGGGATGGGGATTTATTCTACTGGGTCTGTCCAACAGTTACATCAACACAAAGACCTTGTGGATTTCTACCATTTTGAACCACTTTCTGCCTATAATGACTGTGTGACTCATCCAGCCCAGTGATTAGATGCTGCAGTTCATTGGATGACCATCTTTCATTGATCCCAGTGTGATTCATGTCCTTCTAATCGCCTCCTCCTCCCCCCACGCCGGGCCTTAGTGCTGAAAGAGTCGTGATTAGAACTAGATCAGCCTTTAACGGTTCTCCCCGTCTGAGGAGGTTCCACTCCACATTCCTTTGGATCAGAAGTGACCGATCACATCAGAAAATGATCCCAAACTACATCTGAAACGCTTTTCATATATTTGCATCCAATTCTCACGAGTCAGCACATTTCCCTTCTATTAACCTATAAAGCACCATTAACCTGGTGCTTTGTATTCCACTTGAGCATTAATTATCACCTTTTCTGCCAGTCGTTACAACCCCCAGTCCAATCAGGTGAGAGCCACCTCCTCTGCACTTTTAATATGCAAATTGAAAATGGGTTTCTTTGCCACCAGCCTCCCCCACACTTAAATATTCATGATCTCCATGATTACTGCATTACAGTCAGATGAACTCCTGGAGGTGGCCGTCCATGTGGCGTTTCCTCTTTCCTCCAATTTGTAACTGTTGGATTCCTGGCTCTCTGCTGCTGATTATGTAGTGCTGTTTAGATACAGGCCAGTCAATTAAATGTGTAAATAATTGAGAGGTTGCGTGTCTGTGTGTGTGTGTAGGCGGTGGGGGCTGGACCATACAGTGAAAGGCGAGCATATGGTGGTGATTTTAGTGAGGCTGGAACCAGAGTTGTGGGTCCCGGGGGTCCCACTTACATCTATTATTCATGTTTTAGAGTCTCTGATAGCCATTCAACCTGTGTTTGGTTACAGGCTTCAGCTTCCATTTTTAGTCATTTTATTGTGTCTGCAGCTATAAAAAGCAAACAAAATCCCAACTGATATTCATCAACAACCTAATGATAAGGAATAAGCTTTATTTACCACTGGAAAATCTATGGTAATTGATGCACATTTGTTGTGCTGTACAGTATATCCTAGCCACTGAAGCAATGTCATGCTGGATTTGCAGATGAAATCCTCCCCATGATTTAGATCGTATGGGGTGGGTGGCAGTGGCACCATTTCATGGTCAGCTTTTTACTACCAGTGCATAAAGCTTAAAATAGCCTTGGGAGTGATGGCCGTCCTGTTGAATAAATTACATCAAGAAACAGCAGCTCTAAACGTGACTTAATCCTTCCTGTATTTGTAGAATCGCTTCTCTGTTTAAAGGGGCAGTCCACAGGTTTAATATAGAACTGAAAATCATAAAGTGAGGTTACTATGTGTCATTATATGGAAATACAGTAGAGAAAGATGTATTTAGCCGCCTTATTTTCCTTTTCATTCCTGAATACTTCAGCTGCACTGTAAAAACACATTGGATGAGTCATAAAATTGCTGCACTTTACACGGTGCATTAATGTAAATATGTGTGTCTCTACAGCCATCCCTGTTTAAAACCATTTACTATAAAATTATTAAAACATTAAGTATTAAACACTACTGAATCATCTTCCCTGATATAGAGATTATTGATTTATATCAGTTCTTGTACAGTATTTTCATTGTGATATAGCTGTAAAAAAAAAAAATTGCATAAAAAGTGAAAAAAGCAACAAATTATTTATTACATGGTTGGATGATAAATGTTTACCACTGTAATCCTTTCTATGTTCAGTTGTTTAAACATACGGTCTGGTCCTGTCTCTCCAGGTGTGGAGAGGCACAATTGCCAGGATGCGTTACCGCCGGATGCGAGCAGCCTTGATCATCCTTCAGGCTTACCGTCGCTACAAGGTCAAGTCCTACATCCGTGAGGTCAATCGTCGCTTTAAAAATGTTAAGTCCATGAAGGACTACGGTCGACACGTGAAGTGGCCGACACCTCCCAAAGTACTACGCAAGTTTGAAGAGGCACTCAAGAGCATCCACAACAGGTACTCCAACCCAGATTTCACATCAGAAGAATCCAAAATATCACGAGGTACATGTAATGAAAAAGAATGATTTTCTTAAATAAAATAAAAGTTAATTAATAACTGATTAAGTGAAACTGCATAGTTGGTATTCCAGAATATCCACAGCACAGTCATGAAAATAATTTACTTTAAAACTTAAATGATACATTTCTGCATTTTGGAGAAAACGGCTGTCCATAACCTGACCAGACTCCAACAGCAGGAGCCAACACATTCATACCACTCTTGTGGTATTTTACATCCACAAAACTCTATTTGAAGTAACTTGCACACATTTCCTTCAGCCTCAGGCTCAAACTGGGCATCGATTTTCCTCCTCCATCAAAGACATATCTCTGCCTTTCATCTCAACGTCTGCTCTGTTGTTTTCATTATTTGAAGCTGAGCACAGTTGTGAAACGGCCTTCCTCGAAGATGATGTTGGCTGTCAGGACCTATGAGTGAAAGACCTATAAATACACCTGTACTGCTGTAGCCCTGCTCCACACAATGACTGGTCCGACCATCAAGGAGAAGTGCAGAATCCTCAGGGGAGAAAGTTATACATTTCTGTTTGTGTGTTTACCTCCAGGTGGTGGGCATGGACGCTGATTAAAGGCCTCTCTCCAGAGGAGACTCTGCAGGTGAGAGCCAAGGTAGCCTGCCTGGAGGCCCTGAAGGGCCACAGGACTGACCTGGGTCTACAGAGAGCCTGGGAGGGAAACTATCTGGTGAGTAGAAGAGATCAGTGAGCGCAGTGTGTACTTTTTGTGTGTACTTTTTGAGGCTTTCAGGCCTGTGTGTTTTTGTTTATAAAGAGATGGTAAATTGTCAAAATTAAGATTTCAACAGATTTAAACTCAACCCCGAGGGAGATACGTCCTCATTCTTTTTTAATTGTAAATGTATCTCAGTTTTTCTGTTTACCAATAAGTCACACAGTTCTTTTTATTTTTTGGTTCTGTCATATTTTCACTTTTCACAAGAATGTCAATACACAAATTCATGTTTGTGCAAAATTTACATTTACATGAATCCATAGCTATTGAAGTTGAAGTTAAAGAACTATTTTACTGTTGCTGTGTTGACAGAAACGAGACAGTCCTGATACGGCATCGTCCTTCACGTTGGTCTCCAGTGAGCTGCAGAGGAAAGACAAATTCATGAGAGTCCTGTTCTCCTGCAATGTTCGGAAGGTAGGAGACGACCTTTGTTGAATCCATCTATGTCTGACCACAGGCCGACGGTCACATCTGTAAGATCGTTCCTGTTCTGTGTTCTCTCCCTGCAGGGCGTTACAGTTGTTGCCCGTTCATTTTTTTTCTTCATTTGTCCGTGTGTCCTGAGGGCTGACTGATAAGCAACATTGTCTTTTCCAGATCAACCATTTCCACAAGGCAGAAGACAGGGCTTTACTCATCACTGACCGCCACCTGTACAAGATGGACCCCCTAAAGCAGCACAAGCCCATGAAGATCGTCCCCCTCTATAACGTAAGACACTCCCCGTTTATTATTATTCATTAAAAACTAACACACACACTGTAACTCATTTGACCACAGTTGCCCACGGTCTGGTTTCTTGGAATTGGAGTTGAATGGAGAATGATTTGTGCAGAACTGAACTGTTGTCCATTTCTATCAGATTGCAGACGTGAGCAGCCTGAAAATGAAAATGTGTTGATCAGCTACACGGGTTTTTTTATTGTTTTCCATTACAACTGCAAAAGACCTGAACAATGCTGGTTGTAATTTTGATTATTGACGTAATAAAATTAACAATTAGCTTTGTGGAATCCAACTCCCAGACCCCTAAAAGAATTGTTTGCTTTTATTTTGCAGTCAGTAAAAAAAAATCAACCTCCTTAATATTTCATTATCTTCACTGTTGGTCCTGAATAAATTTAGAAATACCTATTGAGACACGTCTCTGGGACTCCTGCAGTCTAATCATTCCCTTCATGAAGTCCCTTATGTGTTTGAGTGTGAATATTATTACCCTAATGATTGAATCCATGATGGAGATGTCCTTCCTTATTCTTAAGACTGTGGCTGAGATGCAGCAACATCACAGATTTCCCAGCAGCCCTTTTTTAATCTTGTGACAAAAAGTCAATATGCAAAATTTACTCACCTTTCCAATTGGCTGATTTTAATTCATACCCTTGCTGTGATTGGTCAATTAAAGCTGCAATATACACAGCATATGAGTCTGTTTCCATGGCAAATATATCCTGTGTGTTTAAACACCAGCTCTAAACGCTGCAAACACATCTGTTGCATTCAGGGATGGGCTCCTTTTATTCCTTTTTTATTTTCATGTCGTGTCAGGCTCAGATGCTAATCTGCCTGCAACTGCTCTCACAGTCTTTTATTGTCTTTATTTTGTTGCACCAAAACACTAGCTCCAACACTGGTCAGTCACAAAAGCAATTTGTTTCAAGAGCAAAACAATAATTCAAAGCTAACCAAAACAAACACAAAGAATAATAAAATATATTTTATTTTAGTGAAATTGCAATATTTATTTACCAATCCTTAATACCAGAAGATTTAAATATAAATCAGGAGTAAAAACTAGCTGTGCCTTGTTGAGTGTTCTGAAATATATTTAGTATTTCTGACTCGTTCGCCCTGCTCTGACTGCTCTGACACAGTATTACTGATGCAGCTAGTAGCAGCACAGATGTTGGAGCATGAGTTGGTGTCATCTGGTGAAACGATGTCACAGCCGGTGATGACTGTGACAAGACAAGTGTTTGCTCTGACAGAGTGGCTGGAAGGAATCAGAGATTTCACTGTGTCTGGAGGGGAAATGAGAGATTTGATGGGAGAGGTAACTGGAAGGAGAGTGAGGGAAATTTAAGTCGATTCTGGAGTTTTGGTCATTCACAGTCTACGGTCTGTTTCCCACAGGAAGTCCTCCAGTGAATGGTGACACGTCTCAAACCTGTAACTCTAGGTGCTGAAAGTCACCGGTCAATAACTTTAAAGACAACTCCTGAGCTGACACAGAAAAATGGAAACAAATATTAAAACAACCAAATTCAAACCACTTGGTTTTCCTGGGGATTTTTCCCGTACGAGCCACACATTTACCCTGAGGGATCATTACTGCTGCCCACTTGGATCTAGAAGCCAGACTTATTTACACTGCAGATGACAAACTGCAGGGAACAGTGCATTGGTCAAAGTGAGGAAGTGTAAATGCAGAACTGAAGGTGGAGGAGGAGAAGGATCCAGGGATAGAGATGTAGTCAGAGAGCCATGGCAGCGTGACACAGAGCTATTGATCGGAGAAGGTCAGACAGAGGGGAAGGCAGTTAGCTCATGGTTGATTAGCACCGATAGGCTATCAGCGAAGGCTCCTCCTGGCTGCCCTGCGCTGTGCTGTGTGCTTAGTGCTGCTCCTGCAGGGCAGCAGAGAAGAATGGCTCTGCTGATGGATGGAGAGGGCTGCGGCTAAGAGCTAACAAATGTCTGCCCACAGATTTATACCCCAATTAATGCCTGTGCCACGAAAGTGGGGGCATTGTGATGAAATTGCCGTACAATAACACAAACATATTTGTGTTCTATTTTGACCCCCTCTTCATCCGTCTCCACCGCTCTGCTCTCCCTCTCCCACTGCTGTCTTCACCCTGTCTCTCGTCTCTCCCCCTCTGTCTCTGCTGCTGCCGCCGCCGATGCTTCTCTCCTCCTGTTGTTGTCATGCCAACTTCCCAGGAGATGGCGTTGTCATGGTTACATAGCAGCAGGGCAGATCAGCTGATGTCTGGTACCGTTCAGGCATGTGCACAAATCCCTCCTCCAACCCTCCTCCCACCACCCCCCCACCCCCCGTCAGTGAACGTAGTTGTGGTCCCCCCAGCTCCTGTTTTGCTCTCTTTCTTCTCGTTTTTGTTGTTTTTCTATCCTGTCACTTTCTCATGCAGCCTTCACTGATCTCCAGTCTGACCAGAAAACAGGTTACATGAGATTAACGTCAGGATTTGACCAGTCATATTTGAAATGTTTGTTGCAGTCGTTACATATGGAAAGCAACCCCCCCACCCCCAGCCAGTGTCCTCACAAGCTAAGCTAAGCTGATTATTATTTTATCCATTTGATCACAGCGTTTCCTCTCCCTCGTATCATTACCGTTCGGTTGTGTTGTGTTATATAAACAGTTAGCTGCTCCCATAGGAATACAGTGGGAGATCCTCCTGTTCTGATAATGGCCCCATGGCAGCTACAAAGGGAAGAGATTCTGACTGGAGAGTGCTTGACGAAAACCACTGTGTTTCTCTGTGCATGTTTACTACTACAGTAGTACACAATATTCAGGGGTTTCCTCAGTGGTGCTTTCACCAAAACACAACAAAGTCCCCTGCAGGAAAAAAAAAGCAGAAATATTTGGAGTAGACAACTTGAGAACACAGTTCATGTCAGTAACATTGTGGTGGTGAAGAAGAATCTAACAGTAAAGCAAGATAAATAAGGGCACAGGACATAGAATTTTGTTCATTTAATTGTTTTTATTTTAGTAAAAAGTTATATATCATTAGTCCTACCTCACATGTCGGATTAATATTTTTATCCCACACATGAGCAAACAAACCATGGAGCCACTCAGCCTCCAGTCTCAGACACTCACTCATGAAATGTGTGATTATCCTCAAGTTTATTCCACAGTTGTGTGGCTGGGACAGACACACGGATGAACAGATGGCTGAGTAGATAAACGCCTTTAATGGCTTTCGTACTGGAGTCAAACTGATTGGGTGACTTTAGACAAATAAAAATGTGACAAGGAAGCAAATCAGAACGTATCATTAGCCGACTCATTAGAACACGAGCTCTAGTTCCAATCAGTTAAGCCTTTAATAAAAATGTAAATGTAACCGGTTCCATGCAATTAACTGCGTTTGGATCGCCCGACAGAGAGGAATTGCTTAAGGCTTTAATTCATGGTGATTATGTGAAGTGTTTGTTTCTGAAGTCACAGGCGTCATCTTGGAGCTAAATTAGCCTGCTACTTAGTTAGCCGCCGGTACTGAGCCGTCTATGTCCGTCATCCTACTGAGGGGGAGTTTGTCTGGGCGTCCCAGTCTGGTAAATGGATATTAATGCACCTGACTGACTGCCCTGTGGCTGTTCCATCAACACACCCAGAGCACAGTTCAACTAAGAAAGACAAATTACAAGGGAGATTTAGGGAGGCAGAAAAGGGAGGCTAGTAGGTGAAAGTAAAAAAAAAAAAAAAAAACGAAATAAAATGCATGAATAACTATGGCTGCAGGCAGTCTTAGCAATGGAGTGTCAGTGTCAGAAGAATCCTCCTCAGAAGATCTGAAGAGGACTGGGCACTACATTAAACCTTTATATTTATAATATTATAATATTTATAATATTTATAATATTTATATTTATATATAATATTTAAAAGAATTTTACACAAAGTCCTCCAGATCAAGTACTATTTTTTTATTATTTGATTTTACCATCAATCAATGACATCAATACAATGTTGTGTGTGTTCTGTGTGTTCACAAAGACTGGTAGGGTACTTCATACCTTTTTTAATTAAGTTATTTAATTATTTTACGTAAGCGTAACAATCAACGATGAATCAAAGTTATTAAAATATAAAAAAGACCTCTCCTTTCTGCTACATGACTCATGTTGTATCCATTATGAAACCATTTATTTTGCTGCATTTTTTTCATTACTCTGTCGATATTTCAACAAAAGATTTTTTTAAAACCATGGATTTATTTTATGCATTTGCAGTATCTTTGTGTTGTATTGGGTCCATTCCAGTTCTTCTATTTGATGTATAGATCTGAGAAATGATGCAAACACAATCTGTTCCTGTACTGTCACTATTTCCTTTTGCTTTAGAGTGAGGATCAGCTAAATATTCCACATTCCTCCAGTAAATTCCTTTTACTTTGTTCAGATGTGAAGGATGATGTTGTGGATCCTGCTGCAGCAGCCTCAGAGATCCATGTCCTTTGGGACATGGATCTCCCCCACCTCCCTGTGCATGCATGTGGAGCTGTGTGTTTGTGTGAATGGTACATTTGTGATTATCTACAGTACAATATGTTTGCACATACTCCTTTGAGCTGTAAGTAATGTGTCGTTCTTTCCTTTTCTCCCCTGGTTTTAACCTCAGGTGACGGGACTGAGTGTGTCGCCTGGGAAGGACCAGCTGGTTGTGCTGCACACCAAGGACAACAAGGACCTGGTGGTGTGTCTGCAGGGTATGGTCCCCGCCAGTGAGAGCCGTATAGGGGAGTTGGTGGGCACCCTGCTCAGCCACTTTAAGAGGTGAGTGATGGTGGTGGGAGATTAGTTGTGTCCAAAAACTGTTGTGATAGCTTGAGTTTGTTGATTGAAATGACCTGTGAGAGACGCAGTGCCGAGGTCGTGGCCTCCTATAATTACTATGCAGAGGAAGTCGCCTCATTGTGTTTCCCCAAGGTTAAAATTCACTTTGAGGTGGCGTATAATCGATGTGCACACTGAGTCTGAGTGAGAGAATCTGACCCAGGCTGTTGTGTGTGACTGTAATTAACAGGTGAGCCTTAAATACTTCATGTACACATTCATAAGTACGTCTGTGCACTAAAAAGCCTTCAGTTCCCTCTGGGTTGATGCACTCAAATATCCTGGTCAAATGAAAAAAACAACTGTGTGGTATAATGTGTTGTATAATTTATGTTTGGCAGAATGTGGTATAATGTGTTGTATAATTTATGAATTTATGAATTATGAATTATATGAATATTGGATGTTTCGTTGCAGTTGCCAAACTTTTTATACAACAAATTCAAAAAGATTGCTTTAAAACCATTGGACTTCAGGAGAAAATTCCTACAAAACTGATATTCTCATAGATCAAAGGGAGTGCAAATGTTATTGACTATTTGAAATTAAAATGAATTCATCCAACCCCCCATCTTGACAAACACTGTTTGATTTGAATATTTAATATTTATATTATTTAAACATATTACGTCATTCTGGATGTGGCTCCTCATCATCTCCAAGTCCGTCCGGGATCATTCCAGCTGATGTTCCCAGAAGAGCAGACAGATTGTGATAAAACTATATCTGATCAGAGAGACATCGGCCCAGATGTGTGGCTACGACCGCTGTGTGACCTGAGTCAGGAGGATTATGGGGCACAGTCGCAGTCGCAGCCGTCCTGATGTGAACTACAGTGGTCACCTAATCTGGGCGCACAGCGCTTCTCATGACAGATTACAGCAAAGCTAGAGTTTATTTTGTTACCTGCTTTTCAGAATGGAATAATATTAGAACCAGAACATTTTTTAATATTGCCAAGAGTGTTAGCTGAGGAAAATCCACCAACCCAACTCCCAAATATGTTGTTTACCAGCTTTTACAGTTTCACTGACAGCACTTTGATTGTCTACAGTTTTGTAGAATTGCTTTTTGTCTCTTTCTCCTCCCCTCTGCTGCCCCCCTCTCCCATTTTTACTTTTCTCTCTGGGTCAAGGCAGACAAGACCTCAGAGATTTATTTTTTCAGGGGGCTCACACACTGTGTGTGTGATTGAATTTTCTTTATATAATTGTTAGACACACGTGGACAGAATATATGGAATAGAATAGAATAGAATGGTCTGTATTGTCATTGTACCATGGGGGTACAACCAAATATATACATATACAAATGAAAAAGGGTTTAAAAATAAAAATCTTTTTAAAGAGCAGTGTCACCTTTGATGGTCATGGTGACCTCACATCTTGTACCAGAAGAAATGAAAGTCAAAAATGACTCTGTGAAGAACTGAAACAGAAATCAGATGCCAAGGTCACTCTGACCTTGTGAGGACCTTTCATTGTTGGGATTGTGTTGAGTTGGTGCTTTAGGTCACTGCGACGTCACTGCAGACTTTTACGGCTGCTACTCAGTAGTAATGACTGTTATTGTTGTTATTATTATTATAATTTTTCAGAGTTGTTTCCATCCTGCACTGGTGTCTGTTGTGTGTATTGATTAGTCTTTGTCTCTGTGTGTCTGACTGTATGTGGGTGAGACAGTAAGAGAGAACGTGTGTGTGAGACGGGGGTGTTAATAGGCGGGGGGTGTGCTCCATCATTGCCATTCTCTGATGGTATCTGGTTTCATTGTGGAGCCCATTTCTCTGTAGGTGTCGGGCTGTGAGTGGCCAGCGCTGTGCCTCAGTGTAATGACCCTCCATGTGCTCTGCATGCCGACTCATCCATCACTGTAGAACACAGGCAGAACAAAGGGCAGCAGCAGCAGCAGCAGCAGCAGCAGCAGCACATGCAAACCTGCCTGTTAGTTTGTTTACGTACGTGAAGACTGTATGTGGCTGCTATCATCGATAGAGTGTGTGTGTCTGTGTGTGTGTGTGTGTGTGTGTACGTACTGCAGCTCTCCTGCAGATGTGCCTTTAACCTTTATCTCTCCTTCAACGTGCTGCACGCTGCACAGTAGTGGGTCTGGATGCTTACAGCAGCAACAAAGCCACACTTTATCCTCCTCACAGTGACAGCAGAGCCATAACAAACCACACAGCTGCTGTATAAACCAGTGGGTCCCAAAACTGGGTGGCAGGCCCTCAGTAGGGGACGAGGATAATTTGCTGCTCGGCGGCTATTTTCTTTACTTGTGGCCAAGTGGGAGAACTGCACTGGACTGTCTTTTTCTCTCTCTTTTAATGAGAGGAGCAGTTTTGGAGAAATGAGATGTTTTCACTGCAAATGTATCTGGACCACTGGACCACTCGTTCATGGACATACACCCTGTACCACTCCCAGTGTGTTACTTCTAAAGTCAACCAACTTTAGTTGAACATAAAGAGGCTAAAACAATGAGACGGCGTTTCACATTCAGATATTAGCAGTCCACATTGTCTTCAAACCGATTTCAGCAGCTCTTGTATAAGAGAATAAACCTCTTAGCGGCCGTGACGCACCCTTTGTCAGAGAAACGCAGAACTTCCCCTGTATTTCTTATCATCCTTCTATAATGTGGGATTAAAATCCTGGGCTTTTCTTCACTCTCCTTTTGTCTCCTTCTCTACCAAAACCCCTTCAGTCTCTCTTTTTCTTTTTCTCTTTACCTTCCACTATTATTTATTTCTGGACAGGAGGTGATTAAATATTTAAGGCACTGCTTCTGCTGAAGACTATATTTATCTGAGCAACCCCCGTGTCTGCATATTATGTTTGTGTGTGTGTGTGTGTGTGTTGCACTGAACTTCACAGCCACTGTGTAGAACAGAACAGACTTCCTTCTGGTTAGATTATGGACTGCTGGAATATGGAGAAATTCCAATCAGGATTTGATCACGCTGGAATATTTTTCTTTGCCCTTCAAATTTAATAATAATAAAGTTTAATAATATGTATTAACAGTAACAATGTATGATATAAAAGATTAAAACAATGCTCCCTTCTCATTTAAAGGGCAATGTTGTCAAAACAAGTGTTGCTATTCATAACTATAATATATAAAGGAATTGAGTTTTATTCACATTTTCTCTCAGCGCTAGACGATGTCTGGTAGATACATGCCTTAAATCTATTCTAGTGAGTGGTGTGTTGTTTTCGCCCAAATTTTTCCTGATTAAAGACAACTTTCCCCCATGACAGCTGCTCATCCCTGCTCTCCATAATCCCCTCCCTGCTCTCCCTTGTAATGTCACTTTCTCAGTTGTATAAGCAGCAGGTTATTAGTTTCTTGGAAAAGCTCTGCAGCTTGTTTCTGTAGCAACAGCTTGGTTTTTGGCTCCACCGACTGCTACCACTGCTGACAGTGTCCACTGTGACTAATGAAAACTCTGGGCAGGCTCTGGATTGATGGATGGTCTGTGGGAGTGTGATGTGTGTTTGATGTGTGTGACATTGACAGGAAGTTATTAACCCCCGGCTGCTGCCCTCTCTGACTTTGGCTGCATCAGAAAGAATAATGAATGTTGGGTGACCAGGTCTAGGTTTTTTCCTTTGTTGTCCACTTTTATCATTTTTTATTTTTTTTATTTTATTACATTTTTCTGTTTTGAGCTTCTTCTTTTTTTTATTCACGTTCAAAAACAAATGTTGAAATAATGTAGATTATAGTACAACCCAAAGATCTGATGTGTTTTTGAAAACTTTAGGTCCACTCTCAAAACAGAGGTTGTACAGCCCTGATTTAGAGAGATTAAAAAATGATCAAGACATTTAATTTTCCTCTTCTCCTCGACCCCTGAAGTGGCCCAGCTCCATTTTACTGATGGAAGTTTGGAGATTTACTGCCTTCAAACCTGCCTACGTGCTGTGTTATGTCCATTCATAATTTTTCTTTCTTCTTCTCCAACCTTCAGCATCATCACCACCTGTCCTCTCTCTTAGCCTCCCACCCACTCTCACCCCCTCTACTCCCCCTCCTTCATTCTCCTGTACAACAGTGTGAGTCAGCATTAGTGTGCAGCACAGCCCTTTATTGATCCGTGGTATTCTCTGTGTGCCCTTGCTGCTGCCCTCCTCCCTCAAGACCTGAACATTTAGCCCAGCACTGATGGTCCGTGTCGCTGTAAAGTGGATTTGTGGCAGCGCTGAGCTGCTGAGGTTGTGAGAAAAGTAGATCAAAAATGGAGAAAAGCCCAAGGACACTGAAGTAAATAAGAAAGTGAAAATAATGGGAGATATTGAAGGAGAGAAACCTGAACATGACATTGAATATAAAGAAGAATTCACATTGATCCTCTTGAATTAAACCAGATCCACTTCTGGGTGTGTTCTCAGTTCAGGTGACCTATCAGGAATCACATCAGTCTGCAGTTGTGAGCCGTGGTCGTCAGGCTCGCTGCAGACATGATGGCGCCAGGGCATTTGATTTATTTTTGTTTTTGTTTGTTGGTACTTTAATTCTTTTTGTAAAGTCACTGAAAGGATGTGGAAAAAATAAACTAAATGACTCATGTCCATTAACTCAGCCTTAGAATAGACGATAGAGATCAGATCAGATAAGATTAGATTAGATATTTTTAAAATGCAGTCTTGAGGTTTTTGTCCTGGCCTCTGGTTTTTATCAACTAAAGACAAAAACGACTGCCCTTTCAATAAAGAAGGCAAATGTCTTTGAGTGGAAAGAAAGTCCATTTGCTGAGTGGAACACAGCAGCTGTCAGAATTACTCACTTATTTTTGTAACATTATCGTTGTATTTTTAACTATGTTCTTTTTCTGTGTTAACTCATAGTTACATTTGGAATAAGCCTATTTTTAATTCAAAACAGCACCTTAAAAGGTACTTAATATTAAAGATTAAACAAACTGGATTTTGAGT